CACAAGAACTTGTACCTCGGTAAACTAAAAAAAACCACAAAGACAAATGATCCAATATCCCAAGAGTTAGATCCACCAATAAAGAAACAAACAAAGTTCTTTATCAAACACAGTTTTGTCTAAATAATACATGGCCTATATATGCTTGTGTCATAAAGAGGACCAAAGCCTTTAATTTTATAAAGACACAAACAAAAAAAAAAAGTTCCCTTTCAGTAAAACTGAGGACTGTGAATCTCTAAGGCAGATAACAAGTGACATCAAATCAAGTGTACACCAATCCTCCTCATGTATTCTGTTAGGATCTAGAACATAAATAAATGTAACAATGGAAGAAACTAACGACAGAACCATGTGTTAAAAAAAAGAGGAGGGAGGCTCACGTTATACAAAAGTTGTTATAAAATGTCTCACGAATCTAGTAAACAAAAAACAGAGACAACAGAACAGAATACACAAAGACTGTGCCACTAAACGTAGAGTGATGGGAATTCTGAATACTGGAGAATTCGAGCTTCACGAAACAAACGATTTAATCCATCCAACCCATAAATTGTGTGTGCCTCTCAAGGTTGTAAACCTTGACATGTCAAAATTGTAATAATCTTTTAGAAGAACATCAAACTATACATGTAAGTGAATAATAATGAAAGACAAATGCAAGTAATCACGAAGAAAAGAAAGTCGTGGAGCCAACTTACTTTTAAGGAACAATAACGTTGTAAGAAAAAAAAGGAATATGGACTTATGCTTACCCTTCAGGTTCACGATCAGGTTGAGGCAGGTGGAAGCTCAAAACGGGAACATCTGAATTAAAGAGAGAGAAAATTCAGACAAATTACTTGAAAGCTTTGTAATTCAAACGACGCATCATTCAACTTGATTTTGCAATATTAGTGATGCATCTTAAAATCATAACCACGAAGTATAGAATTAGAATTTTTTAAACAAAACGATGCATCTATAAAAAATATAAGCGATGCATTATAAGTTGTTTAACTGTATAAAAAGTAAACCGAACGAATATAACAACAGAACAAATCGATAAGTCTACCTCTTGACATGTTGTCCATTGTATAAACCACCAACGAATATAACCTAATCAAATCAGCATGGTGCAAGGTATATATCAATATAAAACTAAAAACTCGAATTAAAAGAAACAAATTCAAACACAAAACAGTGAAAAGAACATAACAGAACTAAATATGTGCTCGGTCATGAAGATTTCTTTAAGGAAAAAAAATAAAGAAGCTCATGTCAATTTATATTTACGAACAATAACTGATTACTCCAAAACATTTACGAACACGAATATATAAAAAATGTTTACAAACAATAAAAAAGAGGATCACGATACGAGCATATATAAAGTAGGATAGATGTTTTAGGGTTTAGAGTTTTTATGTTGGTGACTCATTTAACAGATTCGGTGGCTATGATCAAGATTAAAACCGCTGGTCCATTAACAAATTCAATGGCCCATAATCGATGAAAAAAGTCATGTCACACATATTGACACGTAGGATTAATGATCATTCTATCAGAATTTATTAAAACGACACATATATATTTTAATAATGACAGCAAATCGCTCTGGAGACGACACATAAGTTTTTTGACTTCACAAATAATAATATAGATTTATTTTTTTGTTTAGATATAAGGTTGTTGTAATTATTTATTTATTTTCTTAAATCAAAAATATTCATTTTTCAATTTTTTAAAATATAAAAAAATAATAAGAATGAGATGTGTTCATCATCCAAGCTATTTTTTTGCAGGACATTTTGTTATCATGTTTTAACTTTAAATAGTATAGATTTGTATATTAGTAGAATTAGAATAAGAGTTAATTAATTATATTTCGATCTAATATTAATTATAAACTTTGTTATTATGTGATTTTAATTATGTAAATTTAATTATGTGATTTTAATTATGTGAATTTACATATAAATAATTTATATATCTGTGAATTGGCTAGTCTATCCGTTTAGTTGCCTTAAATAATTTTTAATATCTTACATATTTTTAACAACTAACTTGTATAAGAATGTAATTATAAATGTATAACTCTAATCTGCTCTATTATATTATTATAATATAAAAATATTTACTAATATTGAATTTATGTCGATTTGATTACGATAAAAAATAATAAGATATTCAAGTACCATTTGTGTTAATGTAAAAATAGATATATCTATAAATTGGCTAACTTGTTCATTTAATTACCTCAAATCATCTTAATATCTAACATGTTTTAACAAACTAATCTGTATAGGATCTGAAGTACAATAATACATAATCTTAATCAGCTCCATAAATTAATAACTAATTTTCAAAATTAAATATCAATATAAAATAAATGTTTTGAATTAATTATCACCTATATTTAAGGAGAATTTAAAAATATATAAATTAATATCTAATTTTTGGAATTAAATATAAATATAAAATAAAATAATTTTAAAAAAACTGTGGGAGTATTTGGACGCAAGCAAAAAGTGTTTCTGTTTTAATATAATAGATATTTCGATCTAATGTTAATTATAAACTTTGTTATTATGTAATTTTAATTATGTAAATTTAATTATGTGATTTTAATTATGTGAATTTATATATAAATAATCTATATATTTATGAATTGGTTAATCTATTTATTTAGTTGCCTTAAATCATTTTTTAATATTATATTAATAATATTTTTCTAATCGCGATCATATATATATACTAGAAAAAATAAAACAATAGAAACAAATTAAATATAAATAGAAAAAATTTATATAAATCACTAATTAGAAAATTATATTTAAACAAAAACAAAAACACAAATCATCTTTCAAAATTTGATAAATTATAAATAATTTCTGCGCGGATGTACGGGGTAAAATATAGTGAATTTACATATAAATAATTTATATATCTTAGAGGTCAAATTGACCAATTTATTCAATTATTATAATGATCCGAGAGTTATTTAATTATTCTGGACCTTTATTCAAAACCAAGTTAAACACACAAGAAAAATGAAGAAGGCTAATTATGTATTTGGGTTTTGTGTTATGGCTTACGAAAGAATTTAATAATGTAATTATCCATGATTAAGTTAAAAGAATCCATGGAAACTGATATTTTGTTTTTCTACAAAACCCATGTCAAGAACCTTCTTCAAATCTTTCTTTTCCAGATACAGACCGGACATTGGAGATGAGCATAGAGAATAACAACTTCTGAGGCACACCCAATTCTCTCAAACCAAAACATTTCGGAGTTTTTTCTTCTGCACACTTCCCGGTGGCAAAGAAAGGCATAACTTTTTGAGCTTGGAGCTCTTATCGGCTTCTATGATCTCTTTGATGAAACCATAATATACGCTGAAAGCTTTGTCCTTTTTGATACCCAAGATCTTAGGGACAGTAGATAGAATCTCAGTGAGCTCAGAGCTTGAGGCTCCTCTGGACTGCAGAAACTGAAGCTTGGGACCGAGAGATTCCTCAGCATCTGCTATAAGCAATAGTGGATAAACCGTAATGATGGTGGAGATCTGAGAATCTGTGAAACCATTAATTTTAAGAAGTTTCAGAACAGAATCAGGATCTCCCTTGCCCTCGGAGCCGACTTTCCTTGAGATCGATTCGGCAAGTTTCTGAGTTAGACCCAATGAATCAACGAGGTAAGAGACATTAAAAATCTTCTCCTTTCGACCATATTGAGGAGGGCTCACATCTGCAGCAGCACTAGCAGAGGAGAAGGGATTGGAAAAAGCAGAGAATCCATTTTGCAATGGACCTCTCAAATTAAGCCATTTCTGTAGCACGAGAGACCTTCTTCCATGGAGAATCAGAGTAGTATACATGAGAACGCAATGAGGTTACCAAATGCTTACAAATTCTGGCTCATAAGAAAACCCACAGGAAAAATTCTCAAAATTTCTCCATAACTTACAAAATGTTCAGTAACTCATGGACCGAGTGCCGGTGAAAATCGATGAGTGTTCCATTGATCCACTCTCCAGACCCAAAATGGCAAAATTCATAATTTGGGCGATGTAGAAGAAACTAGAGTTTTTGAGCAAAATTACGATGATGAAAAGAAAAAAAAAAGAAAAATGAGCGTTATATAAATACAAACAGGGGCGGAGTTGAATGAACCTTAGTAGTAAACATATTTATAATCTGGACCCTTATGCAAAATCAGCCAAAACACAGAAGAAGAGAAAAAATAAAGAAGGCTAATCTTCGTATAGTTTAGCCTTCTAATAACGCAATGTTTACCAGACTCTGCCCCATGTCTATAAGAAGCTCTACTCCATGTTACAAAAATGTGTTTTTTTTCTTTCTTACTTTGGACTAAAAAAAACTTCTTTTTAACGGTGAATCATGCCCATAAACATTTGGACCATAGACCATTGCTTATCCTACCTATGCTATGGATCCGACCTGGTCGACAGGCATTCAATAATCAGAGAATGATGATATATATCTTTGGAAGGCATGTATTAATTTACCATCTCAAAAAGTTTTCAACTTCAGAGACTTGGCATGGTTTAAAAACCCTACTAGGAACAAGAATGTTGCTTTTATAATTCGGCTAGCATGGAAAGGAAGAAATGTTAGGTTATATATTCAACAAATATTCAACAAGAAGACTCAGTTTGTAAACCGGAACTGGAGCAAAACAAAGATCAGTTATAGATCACAACCCAAACTGTTAACGATACTATTTGACACTGCATCTTGATATAGATGCAAGAAATCCAAAATCTCAACATCAAATCGCATGACACTGCATCTTTCGCTTCCCATGTCGGTATCAAAAGATTCATCGACGAATCTAAAACTAACAGAGAATAAAAAACACTTTGACAAGCCTTACGAGCTATGAGACTCGACCCTTGGTTAAGATAGTCATCAACTCGGCAACAAGCTCCTTGTCATCATACTTCCTTACAAACTTGTTTAAGAAAGCTTCATCTGTAATGGCCAACAAAAGAGACAATGGAGGAAGCTTACTTCCGAGCAATCCTTTGGACATGAGACTTTTGATTACGTTACACCTTGGTACAATCCTCTTCTCAAAGCTTAATCCAAATACCACAGGGTTTGAAGCTAAAGCCTTTATTGACCAATTCATCTTCTTCACCACAAACTCATTCTTCTTGATCAATGTCTCTGAGGAACATCCAAGTAACTGAGGAAAGCGCTTGGCCATCCTCACAAACTCATCTCTGCTGAATCCTAGGCCTAGAAATGTTTCAACCTTGTTCACTATCTTTTGCTCCGAGAGTGTCAGAATGTTTGGGCATTTCTTGAACATTTCCCATACATCTTCCACATCAAAGCCTAACCTTTTATAGACGTTTACTTTTTCTTCAATCGTTTTGTCGCTCATTTGGTAAACAGCGTGTAGAGCATGGACAAACAATAACGTTGTCGGATCAAAGCCCATGTTAACAACCTTCTTGACGGATTCTTCAAATCTTTCTTTTCCAGATACAGATTGGAAATTGGAGATGAGCATAGAGAATAACAACTTCTGAGGCACACCCAATTCTCTCAACGCCAATACATTTCTGAGTTTGTTCTCCTGCGCACTACCCTCTGGCGAAGAATGACACAACTTTACGTACTTGGAGCTCTTATCGGCTTCTATGATCTCTTTGATGAAATCATAGTATACGCTGAAAGCTTTGTCCTTTTTGATACCCAAGATCTTAGGGACTTTAGAAACAATCTCAGTGAGCTCAGAGCTTGTAGCTCCTCTGGACTGCAGAAACTGAAGCTTGGGACCGAGAGATTCCTCAGCATTTAACATGAGAAATCGTGGATAAACCGTAATGATCCTGGAGATCTGAGGATCCGTAAACCCATGACTCCTAAGAAGACTCAGTACAGAATCAGGATCTCCCTTGCTTTGGGAGCTGACTTTCCTGCAGATGGAATCGGCGAGTTTCCTAGCTAGACCCAATGAATCAACGAGGTAAGAGACAGTAAAAGTCTTCTCCTTTCGACCATCTTGAGGAAGGCTCACATCTGCAACCGCACTAGCGGAGGAGAAGGAACTGGAAAATGCAGAGAATTCATTTTGCACTAAACCTCTCAAATTAGGCCATTTCTGTAACACGAGAGACCTTCTTCCATGGAGAATCAGAGTAGTATACATGAGAAGGCAATGAGGTTACCAAATGCTTACAAATTCTGGCTCATAAGAAGACGACAGGACAAAATTTCTACAGACTTACAACAATGTTCAGTGACTCATGGATCGAGTGCCGGTGAAAATCGATGAGTTTTCGAGTTCTCCATTTATCCACTCGCCAGACCCGAAATGGCAAAAATCAAAATTTGAGGGAGGTAGAAGAAACTAGGGTTTATGAGAGAAATTCCTAATTCCTAATAACGACGACGAGAAAAGAAAAGAAAATAAAAATGAGCGTTACATAAATACAAACAGGGGCGGAGTTAAATCATTCAATAAACCCTTGTACCTTTTGTGATTTTACTCAGTACCAAAATTGACCAATTAATAAACTATATACCAAAAGATACGAATTAATGGTTCAGATGCCATAATTTATAAACAAAAAGTCTGATGTGCCATATTATAGTCTGGATGCCATAAATCACATGAAAATCCCATTTTATCCTTAATGAATTGGTTTATGGCATATCTGATTTTATCCGAAAATAATATTTAAATAATTTCGTAATTAATATATTAAAAATAAAACGAAAATTAATTAAAAATATGATTTTTGTTTTCTCTTCTTTCCAATTCATGTCTTCATCTTCAACCCAAAACCTTCTAAATCTCATTTTTTTGCTTTTGTCTTTTCCTCCTCTTCTCCTTTCTCTGTAATCAATTTCTTGTCTTTATCTCCTTTCTCTACCATTATTGCTGAAGTTTCAAAACTCAGTTAGGTTTTTATTTAGAGATTTGATGATTTCACAATTTAGGGATTAGATTTCACAATTAAGGGTTTTTATTTAGAGATTTGCAAATCGGGTTGGTAACCCAATTTATATGACGATTAGATCTTTGCATATATAATTTGTTGAATATAGTTGTTGAATTATAGTGATTCTTAGATAAATTAGAATTAAAACCCGAATTCATCATCAAATCTGCAGAGAAGGACAACTGGTACGAATGGTACAACTAAGAGATAAGAGGACAACTAGTACAACTGGTACAACTATGAGATAGAGTACAACTGATACAATTAGGTATAACTAAGATAACTTAAATAATTGCTGACTGGAAATTCTTTTATTATAATTGCAAATCGGATTGGTAACCCAGTTTTATCTGACGATTAGGTATTTGCATTGATAATTTCTTAAATAAAGTTATTGAATCATAGTGATTCTTAGGTAAATTATAATTATACCTCAATTTATCACCAAATTTGCAGAGAATGACAACTAGTACAATTAGGTATAACTATGTACAAAAATTGATATCGCACATAGGTGCACATGTTACTTTGACGGATAACTGGACACTTAGGAAAGTCAATATAGTCTAAAGGATTTTATTTTTAGCCGAGGATGCTTTTCGGATGGAAATAAACAAGGTACAACTGGACACATATGTACAACTATATGTAATTCTTTCATTAGAAATTAATAGTGATAAAAGTATGAATATAAAGCAAACATTCACCTAAAAATGTAAAAAAGTTGTAAACTATAAGGAAAAAAATTAAAAAGATGGATAACATGAAATTATCATTTTTCTAATACATATTATTGGTTTCACATCAAACACCCTTTATGATACAAAGAATTGATAATGTTAACAATCTTATGATGGAAAAGAGCCAAAAATATAATTTTGCATCAATTATAATATGAAAATGTTGTAAAAGGACTACAATAGTCTAAAATCATGTGGACAACTACAAAATGATAATTTATATCAAGGGACAACTGGAAAAACTGCTAAAATCGCCAAAGGACAACTATGAAGAATTTTGGACAACTGGACAACTGGGTACAACTATGTACAAAATTGACGGCGCACGTGGTATTTTGCCTGCGCACATGTCCTTTTTTGTCGGCACACATGTCTATTTTATTAATTTTTAATTGATTTTAATTATAATTTTAAATTATATACGTGTCTAAATGGATAAAAAAAAAATTATTCTCAGCCGCCATCTCACACGTGCATCTACAACTGACAACATAGTTGTACCTAGTTGTCCAGTTGTCCAAAATTTGTAATAGTTGTCCTTTGATCGATTTTGTAGTTTTTTCAGTTGTCCTTCGCCATAAATTTTTATGTTCTAGTTGTCCACAAGAATTCCGAACATTATATAGCAGCCCAATATGCTTTGTGTTATTATTTTTCTATTTCTTATATTTTTGCATAGACGCTTGCATAAGATGGATAACATTGTCAAAGACTTTCTTATAACATAAGGGCTTATTTCAAGTGAAACCAAAAATATTTGGTTTTTTGAACAAAACAAAGTTTGATTTTATTCTTTCTAGTATAAATGTGAAAAAAACAGTTTTTAAGGTATGAGTTGTATTGTTTTTAAGTAAATAATTTTAAGAATTTATTTTTTAACACTACAATTAAAATATAGTTGTCCCGAGTTGCACCTAGTTGCCCTGGAGAAATTCATAACGTAATTGTACCTAGTTGCACTTAGTTGCCCTGGAGAAATTCATAACGTAATTGTACCTAGTTGCACTTAGTTGCCCTGGAAAAACTCATTACGTAATTGCACCTAACTCCAAAATAAATAGCAATGCAAGAAATTAAAGAAATCCAAAATACAATAACTCCAAAATAAATAGTAATGTAAGAATTCAAAGAAATCCAAAAAATTCAAAATACAAATAACTCCAAAATATTCATGTACACTCTAAGGCCGAAATAAGTTGAATCATTCATTCAGCAGTACCTTGTTTTTAAATTAAGGAGTTACAGATAATTGTATATATGTGTCTAACTGTACCTTATTTATCCCCATTTGGGAAAATTTTCTCTGCTAAAATGAATAATGTGGCTATCCAAAATAAAAATTCACTGGCTAAAATATAATTTTCTTAGCTAAAATAAAATCTCTTCGGATAAAATAAACCTGAAAACATACACAAATTAAGTTTCCATGCTACTTTTGCCCTGAAATACTTATCTAATTTATTATCTGTTTTTGTCTTTCGACGATGTTTTTTTGAGAATAGAAACCACATTTTTGTTTTTTTTTTGTTTAATTCGGCAGTAAGACAAATAATTCTTGTTTATTATCAAAAATACTCCACCTAGTTTCATTTATATGTGCAATTCATTCTTCATATAAATTATCTATTCCAAAGCTGTTTAGTTTTATATATCGCAATCTTCTTACATACAATATCTTATCGACTAATACCGAATAAGTTATCTGCTCGAAATATGAAGTATTAAATGATATAAAATCTATTGAATTGCTTGTGTGCCTGATGCTCATTCTCCCTTAAAAATATAATAAAAAAAAAATCTCAATTAAAAATTATTCAAGTTGTCTTAGGTATATCCATTTTTACTAGGTGTCCTCTATCTCGTAGTTGTTCTAGTTGTACCAGTTGTACTAGTTGTCTTCTTATCTCTTAGTTGTACCATTTGTACCAGTTGTTCTCTGGAAATTTGGTGATGAACTCAGGTTTGATTATAATTTATCTAAGAATTACTACGATTCAACGACTATATTTATGAAATTTTTCATGCAAATACCTAATCGTCATATAAAACTGGGTTACAACCCGATTTGCAATTATAATCAAAGAATTTTTAATCAGCAATTATTTAAATTGTCTTAGTTATACCTAATTGTACCAGTTGTCCTCTATCTCATAGTTGTACCAGTTGTGCTAGTTGTCCTCTTATCTCTTAGTTGTACCATTCGTACCAGTTGTCCTTCTCTGCAGATTTGGTGATAAACTCGGATTTTAATTCCAATCTACCTAAGAATCACTATGATTCAACAATGCAAAGACCTAATCGTCACATAAATTGAGTTACCAACCCGAATTGTATACCAAACAAGTAATTTTGGCAAATCCAATCTCTAAATTGTGAAATCCCTAAATCTTCAAATAAAAACCTAATTAGGTTTTGAAGCTTCAACAATGGTGGTGGGGGGAGGAGATAAAGATAAAAAAAACTGATTGCAGAAGATGAGGAGGCAAAATTTGAGTGATGAAGATTTGATTTTGGTGATTTTTAAAATCCATCGTTGTGTTTGACGATGATGAAGACGAGTAAGAAAGAAAAAGAATAATTAAAGAAAAAGAATTAAAAGAATTAAAAA